CAGACATATATGTGTAGTACTTATTACTTTGATTCACATGGGTGAGGCTTAGTGAAATGGGCCAATAGACCCGCTGTCTTGGGTAATATTGCTGCATGTAGGATGTGCTGTTAGGATATTTACTGTCGCCATGTGCGTTAGTTTGATGATGTCCCCGGAGTGAGTTCATGAAGGATTATTATGCTAAACCCTACAAGTGGATAAAATTATGGCATAGTAATAATGTGATGAACGAGCGCTAGCTTCGGTGAAATAATAATAAATTAATTAATTCTTGATTATCAGTAATTGAATTAATTAATGGACATTATATCTTAAATATAGGGAGATAAATCGAGTAATTATTATTAGAGTCTCAATTATAAATTGGGCTAGGAAAAGAGAGTGCAATAATATTATGTTGGTGGCCCATTTAATGTTATTTAATTAATTAAAATAAGTGGCTTGATCCACAAGTATTATAATTAATTAAGGAGCCCTAATCCTAATCTCCTAAGGGTCCCTACTGTAGCTCTATATATACATCATTAAGCTCATGGGAAGAGAAGAGAACTCCTCATACACGCCTAAACTGCCCCCCATATTCTCTCTCAGTTCCTATTGGAGCTTTATCTTCTTTTTATTGTTCCACCGGTACAAGATTAAGAGGTGTTTGAGATATACAGTAGAAGATTTGTAGGTAAACCGAGACGAAATATATTTTGTCTTACAGAACTAACTGGAGGTCCGATCAAGACGTGCAGCATACCCAGACGACCGTATCGACGAGAGCTTTCCAACGCCGCTGAGATCGCCGCCTTACGACACCGCACGCGCCCTTACGTGCCGCCGGAGTGTCCCAGGACTGCAAGCCTGTTTTCATCCGTTTTGCACCCATTTGATCCGATTTTTGGTCAGATCTTGTTCGTGCAACCCTAGGACGCGATTTGCGGCCATCCAAAAGATCAGCCAGATCGCCATAAATTTTTAAGCTGTAACCTTTAGATCCGCTGCGCATAGGTTTACGTTTGCTATTGAATTCGTAATTTGTGCATAACGAGATCCTCATAGATCCCAACAAGTGGTATCAGAGCACTTGGTTTAATTCGTTGTGTACAAGTTCTAATTTTTACGACTTTATTTGTCAAGATGTGTTCAAATGCAGCCATATATTGGATTATATTCGCATAACTCGGTTTTGCAGGAATTAGTTTAATCCACTATTATTGTAGATTATGTGTTTGATGAATGTTGATGAATGTGATGTATGGTTTTAAATTTGTTTTTAAAGCCTCGGACATGTCGAGGAATTTGGTGGATGAATGTTTGTAATAATTATTCGCCCGGGGGTTGACCGAATAGATTTAATTATTTTGTTTAGAAAACATGTACATCCATTCGTTGGATCTAGGATCGGATTATGTAATTTTGTAATTATAATTTTCGTGTTGTAATCGTGGATTAATTGCCGAGAGATTACAAGAGATCAACGAGCCTCGAAAAATCATCTGAACTTGAGCCGAGAGACCGCGCGAACTCGCGCAGAAGAAAAAAACATTCTGCCGGATTTCCGACCACCGGCGGCGGCGGCCAGGTGGAGAGGTTTTGATTGGTGGGCAAGTAGTATGATATCAACAATGATTCTACTGCAGTGGGAGTTCCAGTTGAACAAGGAAAGAATATACAAGGATTCCTTGTTTTTAGGAGACTCAATATTTAATGGCCATAATAGTGGATTTATTTATTTATTTACTTATTTAAATTCATTATGACATTAATTATTTATTTATTTATGCATGTTAATTAATTATTGTATTTGCATGGGGTTAATTTAGAATTGCATATTTATTTATGCATATTAATTAATTATTGCATTTACATAGGATTAATTTAGAATTGCATAAATATTTAAATAAGTAAAAATCCTCATTTAAATTATACTAAGTTTGAGAAGAGATTTTTAATTAAAGTTAATTGTAAAATTCCTAAGGCCTCCATTTCTAATTTGTCAGTAAATCAATTAATTGCGGTTATGGGCTCCCACTCGAGTGACATCGCTAAAATTAATTGTAGGTAATTACAAGGACAAATTTCTAAATTAGAAGATTAGAGGGAGTCTTATGAGAGAGTACGGGATTTCCCTCGGATGACGTATAATCGAATTCGTATGAACTTAAGATCGAGAAATGGATTCACTTAGAATGCGATTTATTTATAACTCCCCTCGGGGTCCCTGAATTTATTGCACGGTCAAATGGAGACCGACTATTAATTTCGTTCGTCATGAATTTGGTTTTGACTTATGGAAATTAATGTGCCTTTGAAAGCCCCTCTCTTGCGAATGTTGAGTTGTGTAGGGTTGCCCTCGCATCATGCCTTAACTCTCAGTGTTTTGAGATGTCGGTGAATTTAAGTTAATATTGTTTTGAGGATATCAATATTAGCAGTTAAATTCAAATGTGTTTAATCTGTAAAATTATTTTCATGTTTCTCATATATTCATCATGTTGTTCAATCCGTTGTCTGTCATTCTAAAAGAAAATCAACTTACCGGTCCTAATTACATTGATTGGAAGATGAACTTAGACATTGTGTTGACTGCTGAGGATTATAAGTTTGCGATTACTGAGGCTTGCCCGACAGAGCCCGCGGCTGATTCTCCTGAGCAGGAGAAAGGGGAGTATGCCCGGTGGAAAAAGGCTGATGAGATGGCGAAGTGTTACATTCTGACATCTATGTCAAATGTTCTTCAACATCAGCATCAGTCTATGAACACTGCGGCAGACATACTTCTCAATCTCAGGAATCTGTTCGGACACCAGTCTAGGGCTGCTAAGCAAGAGGCTATGAGTGCTCTGATGACTATGCGCATGGCAGAGGGCACACTCGTAAGGGAGCATGCTCTCAAGGTTATGGCGCTGCTCAATGAGCTTGAGGTTATGAGAGGTTTTATCGACGGGGAAACCCAGGTTGATATCATGCTCCAATCTCTGCCGAACAGCTTTGATCAGTTCCGGTTGAACTATAACATGCACAAGATGCATATGGCTTTTCTAGAACTGCTAGCAGAGCTTCAGTCGACAGAGGCCTTATTCACTCAGGCGCCTCACGCACTGGTTGTCGAGCAGGCTGGACCTTCCAGGCCTCACAAGGGCATGAAGAGAAAGAAGTCTGCAGGAAATGCAAAGGTGCATGATGCTCCAGTGGTCCAGCAACTGCCCTCTCAGGCTTTGGCAAAGAAGCAGAAAGGTAGATGCCACAAGTGCAACAAGTCAGGACACTGGAAGGTCGACTGCCCTCTCCTCAAGAAAGATAACTCTCTCGTTAATGTCGTAGAAACATGTTTAGCGGTTGTATCTACCAGAACTTGGTGTGTAGATACTGGAGCCACTGATCATGTCTGAAATTCATTGCAGGGGTTCTAGGAAACTGGACGACTTTGGGGAGAGATCACCATCTACATGGGCGATGCTACGAAAGTGGCGGCTGTTGCAGCGGGAGACGTTACTTTATCTTTTGATAGTAGTATTTTGGTTTTGAGACATTGCCTTTATGTTCCTAGTTTTAGAAAGAATCTTGTTTCAGTTTCTAAACTTGTTTCAGATGGATTTTCCTTTACGTTTGATGACTTGGTTGTTATTCGTTATTGAAGGCGTTTCATTTGTTTTGGTTCATTAGTTGGCAATTTGTATGTTCTTAAACGAAACTCTCCCACACTGCAACAAACTGAATTGAATAATGTCGTGACTAAATCTAATAAGAGGAAGGAATTTCGAGTATGAATCAAGCATATCTTTGACACCTTAGACTTGGGCACATAAACCTTAGGAGGATTCAAAAGTTAGTGGCCAGTGGACTTCTCGGTCCAATGGAAGAGCACTATCCAACTTGCGAATCATGCCTAGAAGGTAAGATGGCTAAGAGGCCGTTTACGACAAAGGGGTATAAGAGCCAAGAAGTTCTAGGATTGATTCATTCTGATTTATGTGGTCCTATGTAGATCCAGGCTAGATGGGGTTTTGAATATTTTGTCTCATTTATAGATGATTATTCGAGATTTGGGTACATTTATCTGTTGCACCGGTTTGAGAAATTCAACAAGTATTGGGCAGCTAGTCACTTCGATCTGATCGAGGTGGCGAATACCTCTTTGGAGAATTCAGAACATATTTATCAGAAGCTGGGATTGAATCCCAATTGACTGCACCCAGCACGCCCCAACAGAATGGGGTTGCAGAGTGAAGAAATATGACTCTTTTGGAAATGGGTAGGTTAATGATGAGTTATTCTAGATTACTAGATTCGTTCTGGGGATTGGCAATGGAAACGACTGTGTATATTCTGAAAATGGTTCCTTCAAAGTCGGTAGAAACTACTCCTTATGAGATGTGGAAAGGGCGCAAGCCCAGTTTCTCACAGTTTTGAATATGGGGTAGTCCTGCACATGTGTTAGTGCAGGAAGCTGCCAAGTTGGAGAAAAGTTCGAAAGCACGAGTGTTCGTTGGCTATCCCAAGGGAACGAAAGGTAGATTATTTTATAGTCCCGAGGATCAGAAGGTGATCGTTAGCACGAACGCTAGATTCTTCGAAGAAGACTATATTATGAATCACAAGCCCGCTAGTAGACTAGTCTTAGAGGAGTTGAGGAGTGAAGTTGACAGTTACCCACCGAGTGCGCAAGTAGATACATCACATAATACTGTAACATGGCACACTGAATGCAGATTTCTAAGTTACCCGACCAATGGATAAGTCTTGAAGAGTCTAAGGGCTCAGTTCCAGGAAACCTAGAATCGGACCC